CAAGGGAGATTGAAGAATAGCACTTCCTTCTTTGTTATTAAAATCAGCTATTGTTGTTCCAGATATGACTATGAGAACGTAGACATAGATGCGGCCTGTGAGATGATGGAGGATTTGGAGATCATGATTTCCGACAAGTCCTTCTTGAAGCAGAGATTTGCTGTGGAGGACAAAATCTACCAAGTGGAAAAAGCTGACAACTTCGAGTACACAGATCCTGTAGACAGCACCATCTCCAGGAACCAGGTACATGTCACACACTCAGCTACATTGATAAGCTTTTCATGTGGATGAATCCCGTGGTTGCTGGGTGTTTGGGCTCTTATCAGCAACGGAGTCAGTTTGCTGTCTTAACATGATCTGTGCTGGGCTGTTTTCACTGCAGGGTCTGCGGATAATCTTCTCTGATGGTTCTCGTATCATCTTCAGACTCAGTGGGACAGGTAGTGAAGGGGCAACAGTTCGAATCTACATTGACAGCTATGAGAAGGAGCACATTTTTGAAGACACTCAGGTAGAGTATCTAGTTATGGACAGTTCAAGACTTATTGAGCCAAAATAACAAATCACAAAAGGTTAATTTGAACATTCCCAATCTCTCTATGTTGCAGAAAGAACAAGAATGACACCCAATATAGCGCATACCATCGCCAAGGCTCAATAGTTCCCTTAAAAAATAATCAGTAATTGCAAACTCATTGATATTAGTCCCCCAAATATGACTGTTGTTTTTTTTTTTTACCAAGATCCATGAATTATTCCCTGAGAAATTGGCAAAATGTCAAAAAACATATTGTCATCTAATATTAAAAGATCCCTTGGTCGGATCCACAACAAAATTTGATAGATTCCTCCATGGCCATGTCCCATCCCTCCATCAAGATTATTGGAAATCAGTTAATAGTTTTTGCATAATCCTGCTGACAAACAACCAACAACAAAATGGTCTATCTTGCAATGTTAAAGAAAGTGAAAAAATAAATTGGATCCACCTCCAATCTGGATCCGCACTAAACTTTAATGAATTATTTTTGACCCATACCACATCCTTCCACTGAATTTGATGATAGTGTGGTTACATTTATCTCATATTAACAGATGAAAAAGCCATAGTAATATAGGAAATTGTGGATGTGACAAATTGAAATACATCGAGAAGCAGCGTTGTGCATTCCAATTGTTGACTGCTGAATCGTAATCAAATCTTGTGAGCACACAGTCACATCAGAGAGGCAGCACCTCCCAGCTCCTGTTCCAGTTGTGGTGGGTTTTTTTGCTTGTGTGGAGCTTGAAAAAAGAACTAAACTACATAATAAACTGTAGGCGAAGAGTGTGAGATAAAATCCCAGGAGTTATGGCACTAAGTCATAGACACTAGTAGATAAAGGTAATGTTAAATCTGCCATGTGACAGATCACCAATGGTCTTCTTGTCAGGTCACACATGGTATGGTCATCTTGTCACACACAGTATACATAAGCAGAGACAATAGTGTGGTTACATTTATCATGCATAAGTAGAGATAATACATAGTACAGTATGATAATATCATTTCCATTACACTACTTTAATACTGCTCTGTGCAAAACACTCCCTCTTGGCCACTTCAGTCTCCCAACATGGAAAAAGTAGTTGTTGGATGTCTATCTTCAGAATTCCCCTGAAGATTTGCCAAGTAATTCAGCAGAGTATCAAAGCTTGGGCTTCTTCTCCTCATTTATTTGGTTTATTGCTGGGTGGCAACCAATTTCAAGGTGCAGTACCGCCATCTACTGCGTTTGGTTCACCATTTTTGGAGGTACTGCAATACCAGGGGCATTCCGAAGATAGACATCATGATCCAACAACAAAAGTACTTCTTCCATCTTTGGAGAATGAAAGAGCCAAGGGGGAATGAAAAATAACCAGAAATAAGAAACTATATCCCTACAGTATCATTGTCAGTAACACCACCCTGGCTGTTCCCCTCAGTATCTACTGTTCTCTATATTCTGGCTTTCATAGAATAATACAGTAAAGAGAGGCCTTTTCCTTCAAATCAACGTATTACTTTGATATCTTTGATCTCTGAAAATAAGAAGATAATTTTACACCTGAAGGTAATGCCCCTTGATGCTTGCCACCGGCTAATAAACCAAATAAAGAAGAAGAATTGAGCAGGATTGCCTAACCTCACACTGTGGATTTAGACAGAGGGTTTGATGGTAATCTGTCCTGTAGATTTTGTGCACTTCAATCAAATAAACCAACTTTTAAACGAAGAGGGGTGATAACATAACCTCCTTGACAGAGATATAAAACAATATTTGTTTTAGTTAACTTAAAGGAGGAAATGCTTTATGGCAGCTGCAGGTTGTTAAGTCTCTAACACGATTGTCCTTGTTTGGGACAGGTGATGCTGTCGCCCCTGGCAACAATTGCTCTGAAGATTTCCCAACTCCATCACAGGACAGGTCGAAGTGGCCCATCAGTCATCACATGATTTTCTCCCAAATGTTACTCCCTAGTGATGATAGAGTGATGCCCTCTTGTTTTTCTTTCCAGATTTTTTATATAAACTGAGCTTAAATTCCAAGTTTAGCTGCACATCATGCTTTGCATTTTAGTTTGACCTATACTCAGTGACTGTCTCTGTGAAACAGCTTTTTATTTTTGGTTTATGTGTGACAGCTGGCACATGCACACATAGACATCGGCTGTGGCTGAGGGGGTAGCGCGGATGCCCTTTCAGCAGAAGGTTGTGGGTTAAATCCCAGTCTTCCCCACCTGCATGCAAGGCGGGGCCACCTTGGTAAAGTTGAGGCTATTATCACAGTTTGTCCTTTTAAGCCTTAGGTGCAGCACACAAATCTAAACTGAATGAATGTCAAATCAGTGTGGAGAGCACTGAGCACTGTCATAGACTTACTGTTGTCTGATTTTTGAATTGAAAACCTTATTTTGCAAATTACAGCACACTTGTAATAACAGTAAAAGTCTGTAATACTTTTTAAAGCACTTTCTAAATAAAAGAAAGTTAATATTTGACTGATTTTATTAACTAATATTAATTGATGAAAAAGCAGCCATGTGCAAAAAAATAGGAAATTGTGAATGTGTTACATTGAAATGCATCGTTGTGCATTCCAGTCGTTGATTGCTGAATCGTAATCAAATCGTGAGGCTAGTGGAGGTGCACACCTCTAATGAGAACAAAGTCAACACAATCACGTTGGACAGGCAACAGCTCCTGTTCCAGTTATGGTGGTTTTTCTTTGCTTGTGTGGAGCTGAACAAAGGACTAAGCTACCAGTGCCTCCAGTTTACAGCTAATTAGCCAGAAGACAAAAACAAATATAGTTAACTTGTGTCTTGGTAATGTATACGCATAAACTGCAAGCTATGTCATAAGTCAGGGCATACAGGCTAATGTACTATCCATAAAGGGAGACACTACAGGTGAATACATTAAAAATTTGTATCTGATACTGTCATCACAATTGACACCTTGATATGCAAAATAGGCATTATCTAATTAAAATGTGCCAATTGGCACTGCAGGTGAATAGGATAAAAAAACATATCACCACATAATTTCCCCAGTTAATGAATTATAAATAATATAGAAATCTACAGATGCAAACAGACAGAGGGAAGTAAAACAAACACCATGTAAATGTGTGTGGTTTTTTTTTAAAGCTTTTAATATGTTCTTGCCTGTAGTGCTTTGCCTTAAACAGTAACTACATCATTTTGACTATAGGCTCCTCATTTAATAACTATTTATTCTACTAGTTGTTTGCTGATAGATCTTTATCAATACGTGATACAGATAGCCCTCCCTAAAATATCAAAGGAGGAAATTGTAGGTACACTAAAACTAAGTCCTTGGCACCAGTTATTTTGTGCGTGTGTGTGTCTGTGCATGTGCACGTGTGTCTGTGTGTGTGTGTGTGTGTGTGAACAGAGTGTGAGATAAAATTCCAGGAGTTATGGCACTAAGTCATAGACAAAGGCAATGTTAAAACTGCCATGAAGCAGATCACCAATGGTCTTCTTGTCAGGTCACAAACGGTATGCATAAGCAGAGATAATAGTGTGGTTATATTTATCATGCATAAGCAGAGATAATACATAGTACAGTATGATCAGTCTGATCCACTGCATTTGGTTCACCATTTTTGGAGGTACTGCAATACAAGTGGCATTCCGAAGGTAGACATCATGATCCAACAACAAAAGTACTTTTTCCAACTTGGGAGAGTGAAAGGGCCAAGGGTAAATGAAAAGTAACCAGAGATAAGAAGCTATATCCCTACAGTATCATTGTCAGTAACACCACCCTGGCTGTTCCCCTCAGTATCTACTGTTCTCTATATTCTGGCTTTTATATAAGAATATAGTAAAGACAGGCCTTTCACTTCAAAGCCACATATTACTTTGATGTCTTTGATCTCTGAAAATAGATACTTTTACATCTGTGGGTAATGCTCTTGGATGCGTACCACCTGCTAATAAACCAAATTGTGCAGGATTGCCTAACCTCACACTGTGGATTGGACAGAGGGTTTTACTCTTTTTTAGTTGTTTTCAAGATGGATCCAACACTTTCTGAGCAGACTTTTTCTGTGTTTTCAAATCCAAAGAAATCCAACTTTTGCCAAAACATGAAGAGCTTTGAGTTGCAAGGTGAGTTTAATTAATAATGTACAAAAGAATTATTATCACAATTAATAGGCGAACTGCAAAATGCTAATTTATTATAATAGTTATATTGAACTAAAGTTAAAGGCAGCAAACATAATGAACAAAAATGTAGTCTATATTAAGGCTATTTGGAAGCAAATAATTATGTAATGGCAGCAGAAAAAACGTTTTTTTAACTTGCAGAGAAAACAGATAAAAGTGAACATGTTTCTTTATTGGAATATTAATCCCACTTTCTCTGTCCTTGTAACTCTTTACACCTTCATGATGCTAAAATATGCTGTTTTATCTGATGTAGACTGGAACAATCATGGTTACATACCCGCAGCTAATGCTGAAACCAAGGCTTTGATGGAGGAGGTGAGTGTGACAACGTTAGCACATCACTTACAGAACATTCATGACAACACTAAAGAAACAGTTTATGCTGAATGTTAGCCAAACTTCCTTTTGAATGTTGGCCATTCAAACATCCATTCTCCAATCGATCCAAACAATGGTGCAAATGATATGTCACACTTATAATCTTATACCTTTCTTGACAATAGATTGGTAAAAAAGAGGCAAAGCTGGTCCAACTGGAAAACAAACTCGAGAGCCATAAGGATCAAATGGAGGTAATGGATGAGTTCATCAAAAATGCAGAAGAAGAGCAGCAGAACACTGAGGTTGGTTTATCAGAATACAATACAAATTATTTTGTGTCAGGTGTGCATCTCTTCTGGTAATTGGGTTATTGTCACAGTCTCACAGTGTGGGGCTAAATTCTTAATTAGTTTTTTCTGCACTCAGGCTCTGCGTAAGGCCAATGAAAGAGAAGTAGATTCTGCGAAACACCTCACAGCCCTCACGAAGAGGAATGCAGATGGCCAATCACTGAACATGACAAAGATGGAGAAGGCGCTCCGATCTTTTGCAGAGACGAGAAATATGCTGGAGGTGTGTACCATTCACAACATAAGAAACAACTGCATAGCTGATATTTATTTATTTAAATGTCGTAACCTTCTTCCATATCCTCAGAATCGAAAGCACAGAACCTACCAGAAGCTAGGGAAGTTTAGGAAGCTGATGAACAGGGACCAGCAGACCATGGATGGCTTTTTGGAGGAGTCAACGCGTAAACATGAGGACTTAATGGCGATCATGAAGTACTCCGAGCAAGATGAGAAGACGATCAAGGTAAAGAGAAAGAACCCAAAAGTATCAACAGCCTGTCTATTATGTTTACAGGACTAGATTCACAGATCAGCCACAACATTAATACCAGTTACCTGTTTTAATGTTGTGGCCGATTTGATGTTGGAGCTAACCTGCCCTTTACAACTCCTGAGCTTTATTTTCTCTCCTGTTACAGTCTCTCACTCTGGAGACAGAGAAGAAGACCATGGAAGCCAATGAAAAGCGCAAATTACGTGACAAGGAGTTGACTGAGACTTTATCTGCACAGGTACAAGAAAAAGAAGACTGATATATATATACAAATATACATATGTTGAGCAGAACTAAACTTTTCATGCGCCAGCCAAACAAATACTCAAACAGAAGAATTAGCCAATCAAATCATGTTAATGAGAAAGAGGAGGCAGAGGCAGCTGGTGAACCTGGTGTATGTTCATCTGGTTGTGGATTTTATTTCCCTTTTTCTCTTTAGCATTGAATTGAAAGCTAGCATGGTCACAGATGTGAAACTGTGATTGTTTTCGTTATGACAATCACGCCAGCAAAATGTGTTGGGCACGCCCGTCGTCGACTGTTAACGCACCACATATGAAAGAGTCCTGCATGATTCTTCCCTTCCATCAGTTACTTGTCACACTGTTTGTTTTTACAGTACAGCAACATTCTTACAAAAATCTTTCCCATTTTTCCTAATGAATTTTTAATTATATTTTATTATTATTGTATATTAATTACTATTTTTGGAATTAAATAAAAATAATTTATCACAAAAAATGCTTTGCTTTTCTAACAGTTTGCCTTGGATAAGGCCACAAAGAATTTTCAGCAGAACCACCTGGAGACACAGCGGCTCCTCCACCAGTGGGAAAAGACTATCAAACTGATGAATCAACGTGATGCTGAGAATCACCAGTGTGCACTGGTAAAGCATGTTACTTTTCACTCCTCCCAATAATAACAGTGAACAGTACGCTTGAGTGTTTATTCTCCTGTTTTGTTCCCTTCATCCCTCCAGTATTGTGCCGAAGTCAATCAGAAGGAGAGGGACAGGAATGCTATCATCACAGAGAAGAAGTACTTGCATGATATTCAGCAAAACAACATGGAAATTGAGAAGAAAATATCTGCAAAACAGCGACAGGCTGTAAAGCTGCAGCAGAATCTGAAGGAGGTGGAGAATAACTGCAGTGCACTGAAGGATGAGGTCAGCTACTCAAACAAAAGAACTTTAGCCAAAGATGAATATGTGCTTAAAGAATGTTACAACCAATCTAATCTTTAATTTGGCTTCATATTGTTAAAATTGATTCTAATGCACTCTAATGATGCTAATTGCAGCTGGATGGTATCAAGGGTGAACAAGACAAATCTTACTCCTGCGTAAAGTCTGAGATGTCTAACAGGTCCCGAAAGAACAAAATGATACAGGATAAAGATGAGAAGTGAGTGAAATCTTACAAAATGTCTCTGTCAATAAATAGTCACTGTAGTTCTTCATAAACAAGCTCTGTCTTTTTATGTGTTTGGTAGACTCAAGGAGGCCAGGGCGTACAATGCAGAACTGGAGGAGAAGCTGGAACAAGTAACTCAGACTGCCCTGAGTGAGGAGGAGAGAGCTGCTCAGATGGATCAGGTTCGCAGGGATAAGGAAAAGGCAACCACGGTGAGCAGCCTGATAGAACCTTGAACTGATAAACTGCTGTGGTGTCAGGTTGGACAGAGTAGTTATATATGTTAGAATATCTTTTCAGTTTGTCATTTCAGGTCTTTAATATATTTAGGTGGGTCTAATTTAAGTTAACGTCTATTTGACACTACTTCTGTTGTGCTTCAAAATCAGTAGGACAAAATAGAACTGATAACGACAAACACTCAGATGAAAAGGCTCTTCTTTCTTCTTTTATATTGTACTCGAAATGTCAGAGTTTTGTACTGTATTACTACTTTGTAACCCTTTGCTGGTCTGTACTTTGCTGTAGGAGCTGGATTTCCAGCTGCATGACTGCCAAGAGAAACTGTTCCATCGTAAAGCTCATTTGCAGGCTCTTAAGACAAAGGAGAAGGATTTTGTTGCCCATGTTGCGAGGAGCAAATCCGACAAAAGCCAGAAAAGCCAGCTAAAGGAACAAGAGGATGAGATTATAAGACAGCAAATTGTTTTAACTGAACAGGCAAGTTTACAAAAACGATGCAAGATGGTGCAAGACTGCAACACTGAGACTGTGCATATCTTTATATTTTCCTCTCACATTCCTGCATCATAGGATTCCAAGCTCATCAACCTGGAGACAAAACTGGCACGGCTGCAAGGAGACGTTAAGCTAGATGAAACACAAGTACTTCAAATGAAGATCGTTGAGCTGACCAAAGTCCTCGAGGAGAAGAAGTCAGCCAACATACTAACCAACATGCTCAAGGAGTCTGAGGTTAGTCTCACTGGCCATTCTCTCTCTGTTCCACTAAATAAAGCCATTACATCTCACTCACATATCTATCTCTGCCCCTCTCTCTGACAGTATGATATTCCCAAATTGAAGAAAGAAATTGAAAAGTACGAAGCTCAAAAGAGAAATGTGACCGAGAAGGTGGAGGAGCTCAGTCTTTTCTGTAATATCACTGAGAAGGAGATGAAGGCATGCCGGCTCAAAAGACAGGTAATGTGCAAAAGTCACAGCAGATGTCATGAACTCACCTGAGTTGCTGACGTTTGGAGACCAATTCAGGAATCCTGTGTTCATGTTGTGTTTAGGAAATTTCAATATTTATTTGATTGACACAACTTAATTGGAAAATGATAAATAGCTTTCCATATTTTGACTGTTCGCCAGACAAAATAAGGTATTTTAAGATCATATAATAAACTTAGGCTATTCTAAAATACAAAGTTCTTCAACTATTGATTCTCTTCTTTATTGATTAATCTGTCTTTTTTGTTAAAAGTTGTAAAGTTGCAAAATGTCAGTCACTGTCTGGAAGAGCCCAAGTGATGTTTTAAAAAGATATTGAACACGTTTGCTTAAAACATGCTATGAAAGATCTATTATTATTTAAATTTCTATATTAATTACAAGAGATTAAATTTGATAATTATGCAATTATAATGATACTACGTTGACCTCATGTGTTCCTCTGTAGGACAACATGGTGGAGCATAACATCTTGAAGGTAGAGGTCAAGCGCATTCGAGATCTGCTGTTCAGCAAGACGGACACTGTGCTGTCTTTGGAGAAGAGGAAGCTGGGGCTACAGAGAGCCTTAAAGGAGAGGGAGGGTGAGATCAAGGTCTACAGAGAGATGCTCGGCCAGAAGCTCAAGATCAGTGAGAAGGAGAGACAGAAACTGAGGTGAAAACAATCATCTGGTTTTGAAGTAACAGTATGTTACTGAGCCACTTCAGCAACATACTGTTAGTTCAACACTTGTACAAAGAAAATCACTCACTTTAGTGACTGTTTCTGTTTCAGTGCTGAACTCAGTGAGAAACTGGCCAAGATCAAGGGGCTGAGGGATCATTTTGAAATACAAAAAATTTTGCTGGCAGCTCCTGATGAGGATGTGGAGAAGTGGCAGATTCACTGTATCACAAAGGTCAGATGTCTTCACACAATAACACAACCATATACACACACACACACACCACTGTGTCGCATGCCGAGTCTTCTGAAGCTTACCGTATTTATCGTGCACACCAGCTCTCTAAATGACTCCCGTTGTGTGCTTTTCAACAGGCTGCACTAGAGAAAGAGGAGCTTAAACGAGAGGGAGACGCTCTTTATGATAAAATGGACAGGGTCAAGCTGGAGAACAAAGCTCTGGTGAACACCAACTATTTGTTCATCAACAGTGTCTCAGCGTTTCAGGAATCCCTCAAAAGAAAAATTGAATCAGGTAGGTAGGATGTAGACAGAAGTATTCTGAACCAACAAATCAGTAACAATACTCTCTGTTTGTGCCTTTTCGCAGCTTTCATCGATCACAAAGTAATTCCAATTTTTCTTTATGTTTCAGGTCCGGAATACCAGGAAAAACTGCAGTTAGATAAACAGTTAAAGGCAGCTGAAGATGCGTTACAGTTCAAGAAGAAATACATGGGGGAGCTTCAACAGGACTTACAGGTAAGTCTCGTTTATAGCCGGTGTTGAGCAGATGACGCAGAAAGATAGACTAACTCAACCTGAATCGTAACATGTCCCATCAAGTCTCAGATAAATTAACTATTGGTCTTACATGTAGACTATATTCTTAGAAGATTGGCTCACATTTTTGACAATTTTACATAACATTTGTTATAATGTATGTTCATAGTAGTCTTATCTTTATCGCTCATATTTGTTTTAGATTAGGATGCACCAGCTATTTGTAAATCAATTTCTTAATTTGCGTGTGTGCCCTTCCTATTTTTTTTTAGAAATTATTAGTATCTTAAAGGTACATTGTGTAGAATTTAGTGATATCTAGTGTTGAAATTGCATGTTGCAGCTGAATAGCCCTCACCTCACCCTCTCCTTCCAAACATGAAAAAGAACCTGTGGTAGCTTTAGTTGTCATAAAAACTCAAAAGGTGTTTAGTTTGTCCAGTCTTTAAAGTTTACTAATGGAAAAAACATGGCGGCCTCAATAGAGAGGACCCCCCTCGATGTAAATATAAAGTATTTAAATATAAAGGGCCTTTTCTGGGGTAAGGAAAACTACAATTCATACAATTTAGATGAAACAAACTAGTGAAAACATAATGAGAATTATTATTATTATTATTACATTTTTATTACTACATAAAATTTCTGACAATAGTACCTTTGCACCTAAATCTTACACACTGGACCTTTAACTAAACTTTGTTTTGATATCGTAATGTATTGTATCATGATACATATCATGTCGCCAGATTCTTGCCAATACACAGTCCTACTATATAAACAGAAAGTCATTGTAGCATCACAAGCTGTAACCAGCATGTTTAGTGCAACTAAACTTTTTATTTCTAGCAAAAGTCCAAATATTGTTTCCTCTGGAGTATAATGGGTGTTTTTTCTGGCATCAGTTTACAACTCAACCAGTTAACAGTATGAATTATATAGTTTCTTAGGGGCTATTTTAGTCCTCCCCATTTGTTGGACATCCAGCGTACCTCCATGGTTGCTTTGGTGTGATTTGTGTGTTTTTGTGTACCACTCTCTGTTTCCAGGACATGAATGATACCTTTGAAAGTCTGCTGCAACAGGAGCGGGTTGAGAAAGATAAGATGAAGAACAAACAATCTCTCATCAACTTAAGGAAGAAAGAAATCACTTCCGAGCAAGAGAAAATTGACAGGGCAAAAAAACAGGTTTGATGAACCACACTTTTTATGTTTCGATATTGACAAATATGAATATAAGTAAGAAATTAGCTAATTGAGCTGAAGTTCACTGAAGAAACAAAATAGTGAAGTTAACAAGTTACACTAACTCAGTTGAACAAAAAACATAACCAATTATGTGTAACCAACTGAAGTAATATTTTAAATTTGGATTTTTTATTCTAGTTTGGCTTCACCAAGTATAAATTGTGAACATTATGCACTTCCATATTATCAGTTATTGTTAATTATTATTAAATTTTGTATCGTCTTTGTGTTTTTTAGTGCTCCAAGCTGATCAAACAGATCCGCTCAGCTAAAAACACCACAGTTGAGACTTTTGAAGAAACGGAAATTAAACTGAAGGAATTAAAGGATTTCATCAAGAGCTTTGATAAAATGCTGAGTGAGACTGTGGTGGACAAGCCTGATCTCAGATCAGTGCTGGAGCAATACTCCCTTCAGGTATAAAACAAATGACACTGCATTGTTTTAATATTCAGAGGATTAATTAAGCATTAAGTCATGTTTGGCTTTGCTTTAGTGTCAATAATTGGATTTAAGTCTCATTTTGTAAAAGTTGCAAAAACAAAGTTCCATTATCTTGTTTGTTTCTGCTTATTCTCTCAGGCCAATAAGTCTTTTCTAGCTCCTTCATTCACTCACACTAGCCAATGCAGCTCCAAGACAAACTCTGCCAACAGATCTTTCAGGTCAGACTCTTCTTAAGTGATGAGAGTTTTTTTGTTACACAGTCATCCAGCTGAATTACTTAACTGAAAATCTGTACAAGAGGAAAATGATTGATTACTGCTCTATTGTTAATGGAGTATAACCAGCCTGCTGAGGAGGACTGGCTGAAAAAAAGTGCTGTATAAGTTATAGATTTGTATGAATCAAATGTTAAAATATATCTTAGTATTATTAAAGGTCTTGTTTTATTCTTTCATACAAAGGATTGGAAATCTTCGTGTGTTGCTCCTCCTCTGTGTCTTAATTGTGCTGCTCTCTCTCTGTATTACAGGTGTCCTGCATCCTCAGTCAGCAGCAGCCACAGGGCCTCAACACTTGGTCCCTGCAAGTTCCAAATTGTGGAACTGCAGCTGACATGAAAGTGACCTCCCCTCGTCCCAGCTACAAGTAGCAGCAAGAAGTCCTAGTGCACAGAATAACTGCCACGTTACCCGGTGGACACAGATTGTGAAATGTCTTGCCTTTGTTAGTAACAAGGAAAGATTTATTTTTAATATGATGAAAATCCTATTATTCTTAAATGTGGGATTTGCAGTCAGTTTCTAGTTATTACATTTATCTATGGAAATGTAATGATCACAAAAGTGGTTGGA